CCAGGTCTCCAGGGGAGCCGCAAGGTGGCCGTTGTCGTCCTGTCCTCAGGGCCAAGGGTCTAGAGATCACTGCTGCCTTCTTTTAGGAACCTCCCTGAAATGGTTGCTTATCTTTCTCCCTTGTCTCACCTGGATATGCATGTGAATAGCCAGGGATTATAGGTGGAGGCGTTTCTGATCCGTTTTGTGCTTTGAGGTTGTGCATAGTTTAAGGGGCTGAACTGTGTTTACCCCCCACCCCACAAATGTTTGGGCAGCACAGGTATTTACTTAACAGCTTCCCATTTAAGACTTGATTTTTTTAAAAGGTTAAACATTTGTCTAACATCACACATTGTGATGATAATTTGAAGTTCGCTTCTATATCATTTAAATTAGAAGATTTTCTTTAGAAGATTTTTTTGTGTGTGTGATTTACCTGTAGGATGGCTTTAGAACATATCTAGAAAGATGATGGATCTGGCTAGTAAAGGGAAACTGAGGTAGAGAAAATAACTTGCTTGTGATCATATACTTTACAAGATTATTGGAGGTAGTTTTTCCCCCTGAAACAATTTCCTCAATTTCTCTTTGAGGGAAGAGTAGTACACGATGTGCATCACTTGTTGAGTACGACTTCCTAAAAGGGGAAATGGTTCATAGATGCATATTTACTCTTTTCAGTAAGTGCTTGGGAATGTTCTACAGTCATGTCAATTTTGCCTTCCCTGCCGGTTTTTTTTTTTTTTTGATTACTTATTAAATAACGTATTTCCAGTGACATTTTTTTTGTAACCACAAACGTGTGTTTTTTTTGTACTTAATAGGAGGGAGGTAAAAATAAACTTTGGAAATGAGTCCAGTTGGGTTTGTGAGAAAGGGCTCCATTTATGAGCACTCACCTGATGCCTTGTGTTTCTTCTGCTTTATTCATAACCTTCTTAGCAGTCTACTAGAACGTAAAAAAATACATTTTTGAGCAAACTTATTGTGTATATATTGGCTTCTTAAGGGTGTATATCTGGTTACCCCAGAGAGTCTGATTTGTTTTGGAATTGATAGTTTGGGAAAAAGGATAAACAGTACTGAATCATGTGTAAGGGTGCCTTAAAGCTGATGATGTCAAAGGACGTCAGTTAGTCTTGAGGTGGTATCAGGTTTTCTCATAAGGCAGTCTATCAGTTCTTTTGACCTATGGTTGAATCAACACATCTTTATTAAGCACCTGTGCTATCTTTACTGTGGAGTTAGTTCAGTGTGCAGTTGAGAGTCTGTATGTGTGCTAGTTTCTGAGTGTTTAAGGCTTGCCATCAGTAGTTTATTCCTGAAACTTTCAAGGCTATAGCTAAGAAAGTCAATGTGAATATAGAACTGATATTCCTTTTATTTAAAGGATGCTGTGAGGGTTTCCATATTTTTGTCATAATTTTCTGAAGAAAATTCTTCCATTAGTTGTGAATTATTTCTGACTTACATTAACTTTGTGCTTTATTGTTATGGTTATATAGGCAAATAGATAACATACTGATGAGGCTCCAGTGAAAAACGAGTTCCTGGTATAAATTGAAATAAGTATGTACTTTGGAGATTGGGCTTTTTTTTTTAATGCTAAGCAACTTCCGTGATCAAGTAGTTTAGACTGTAACTAGATTTTAACTGATATTTTAAAATACTTTTTCAAAACATTTCAGAAATCTCTCTGAGCTAAAAAATAACAAGGGTTATGATGGTCAGCTATAAGCCAGATGCAACTCTCATTTTCTTTTGGGTTTGTTCCTTTTTAGTTGACTGTCTGTTCCTCCCAGATGCTTCCTATCGCCCCTCTTCCTGCTCCTGTTCCCTTTGCTGCTGGTGTCTGTTTCCGCATCAGTGAAATGGTCAGGGTAATCCTGCCCTGTCTCACTGAGAAATAATTGATGATGGTTAAGAGCCTTGAAAGGGCTGAGTAAATACCAAGTCTTTTAAATGAAAATGACTTAGCTCCTTGTTCCATTTAAGGAAGATCCAAATCCCAATTTTAGTTTGAGCTCTTAGGGGGTGGGAGAGGAAAATTTCATTAGAATATTATGTTGCCTCTCTCTTCAGGTTAATAAGAAATGAGTGTTGTAACTTTAGTAACTGGAACACTGGTGGGTAAGAGGGATCTTCTGCTATTTGAGTTATTGATCACCTCTAGTCCTTTTTATTTGCCAGGTTACCCTCCCTATCTGCCTTTTTTTTTTTTCCTTTTTTTAGTTTTCTTCTTCTTTTATGCCAACTTTGTTCTCATTTCATCTGTGAATCGAAATCTGAGGTCATTTTCTCTATTAGCTACCCTCTGGGGGGGAGCCCCTCATAATTATAATCATATTCTTGGTTTATTAGGACATACAAGGAGGATTTCAGAAAAATTATGGAAAAGAATTAAAGTATGACTCTGTGCAAAAAAGTCAAAATCCTTGCATAGTTTTTCATATTATACATTTCCATGAACTTTTTGAAGACCCGGTAAAAGAACAAAGTGACCTCTGTCAGCTGTCAGGTAGAACTGAGCTGTGGTGCAAAGATTGGTCTGGCATAGTCAGGATGTTTTGTGGTTTGGAGTGAGCAAATCACCCCTAAGGATTGTGAAGCCATTATTAATATCTAAGAATTGCTATATAATATATAATTATATATATTATTGCTATATAATATCTTAAAATTTTATATTGATTTGATATTGATTATTGATTCTAGAAATTTTAGAAAATGACAGCTGTTGATGATTTTGAAAGCATTTACCCTTCCCCAGCTTGGGGTGTTGATATTTATGTTTCCTTTGCCTTGGGGAAATAGATTAAAGAAAACATTGCTGTTTAGCATAGATTAAAATGACATAATTAATTTATACCATTATATACATACTGGTATAATTTAGTAGCAGATATGTTTTCCAGGCTCTAACTGGCTTGAGTTTTGGTTACTCTTAGGCATAGAAATGCTTTTACTGTAGTACTGGAATCTCATTTATAAAAAAATTAAGGTGGTGGTTCTTTTTTCTTTTTCTTTTTTGAATTTTTGCCAGAGGGCATGTACCCTTGCTGAAGGGATGGGGTATAAGAAAGTACCCTCTATGGGGAATAGTCACGCTGTAATCCCATCTCCATTTTTTCTGTCCTTTTGGGATTTTTGGGCATACAGGTACACATACTTGGCATGCTTCTCAATCCAACATGTCTGGGGCCCAAACTGCACCTTCAGCCATGTGGGATCCAGTCGCCTTAACCACCACCCCACAGTCTGGCCTAAGGTGTTTTTTATAGCATGAGAAAATTTTAGACACCATTTAAAATTTGAAATGTGTGTATGTTCTTTGGTTTTCATGAATAAGGTGTTTTTGCTTATTTTGTCTTTATGTTGTCTAATATAAGTAAACCTTGGCAACCTTAGAAATAATATTACTAGTGGGTTATAAGCCAAGCGATTTCTAATGAACATAT